CCAATAAAATCAAATATTCTTCAATGGTGGGAGTCATATCAGCTTCATTAAAGGATGAAACACTTGTATGCAGGATCCCAAAATTATGCTGCAGCTTCTGATTAGTTGATCATCAACAACTACTACTAGAAGGTGTGCTATATGACCGTGTCTCTGGCAAAACTGCTTTTGTCTTGACGGACTCATCTTCTTCCAGATATCAACCAAATCCTCTAGATTGTTCTGTTTGAGGAGGATAGATGTTTCTTGAGATAGAGTAGAATCATATCCGATTGGTAAACAATCCCTTATCTTCAGTTGAATCTTTTCTGACTGGGCCCTTACTTCGTTGGGTGTCTCACAAGGCGCTAATACGGATGAAGAGCAAACTAGTCATTCATTGGAGTCCATGAAAAAATTTGTTGAAGATCATCTTTTAAGCAAATGTTCTTTATGCAACTGTATGATATGAGTATGAACCAATGCAGAAGAATGGGAGAAAATGTTAGTACACCCAAAAAAAAATAACTAAGTAAATTTAAACATCACACAGAAAAAGAAGAATGAACCCTATGCTTCTGGTCAAATCTAAAAGGGAAGAATAATGGCTTTATCTATAGGCTAAGCACTTCTAAGGTTTCACTATATGTGGTTTAAGGTCAAAGTCTAAAGGTTCCCAAATTGCTCTTTACATCCTTGTCCATCACAGACTAGTAAGGCACCCATAATCCTCACCCATTACAGGCTACAAGCGAAAAAGGTTCAATTTGAGTGAGAGTTATTTCGCTAGCCACTTGCGGAGGCATTAAACTTCACGAAAGCAATAGGTACTTTACTCCCTCCTAGAGGGACGGAGCTCGGTATAGAGCTCATGTTATGCATATGCATATGAATGACATAATTAATAAAGTTAATAAACATGAATGAATAAAAAATCTATTACAAAAGGTTCAATTTTATTAGGCTTTTGGATAACACAAATTTATTTGCCAGCCTGACTCTCGGAGTTTCCCAGTAGAGTCGCCAAGCTGTCATAACGTCTAGATCCGGGGATCTATCGCTAGACATTGACTTTAAGGAGTTGCCACCAATCTTTTTTTATCTAGGTGCGATTGGCCACCTAAGAAATCTATCATTTCAGGGAACACCTAAGTTTAAGGGTCCCTAAAAGAATAGGTTCAGGTCTACTAACCAGAACAGGGTTCGGGAGTTCGGTTACGTGTGAGGAAGGTTATAGCACCCTCACAACGCCCATCAAAAGATGGCACCAGCTTAATTTTGTATTATCCAATAAGCCTTAAAATTTTATCAAGTAATTAACTATTGGAAATTATTCTCAATTGACTCTAATACTTTTAGCAAAAAATTGAAAAAATCCCCTCACCTCAAGAGTATGCAAGAAAACTACCGTTTCACTTGCAGAGGCTCTATCGTTGGATTTTTAACATTAAAAAAAATTCAAAGGAAATAAAAAAGAAAAAAATGATTGCTTTTGTACAAGGGAAAATTGATACTTTCAACTTTTCCTTAAAAAATATTTTTTGAAAACTTCTAATTTCGAGAAAAATTGATACTTTCAACTTTTCCTCAAAACGCCTTTTTTTTTTTTGAAAATTTATTTTAAGGAAAATTGATACTTTCAACTTTTCCCCAAAAATAGTTTTTGAAAACTTTTAATTTTGAGAAAAATTGATACTTTCAACTTTTCCTCAAAACATTTTTTTTTGAAATTTATTCTTAAGGAAATTGATACTTTTTAACTTTTTCTCAAAATAATTTTATTTAAAAAAAAATAAATGATAAAATAAAATAAATAGAATAAAAATGAATAATAAATTAAAAAATAAATAATAAAAATGTTAAACATTTCTGATATAACAATAATAATTAAATAAATAAATAAAATAATAAAAAAACATGAGAACAGCTCGGGCTTGCCGGCTCGGGCTCGGCTCGGCTTGAGGAAGAAAAAAATGGCTCGGAGACGCGGCTCAGGGTGTCGGCTTTGCTTGGCTAACGGCTTGAGACGCGGGTCACATGCGGGTCGGAAAGCGGGTTGACGCTCGGGTCGGATCGGATCTTGGTAAAACAAGGTGGATCCTCTGGGTTACTTAATGCAGAGATGACGTCATTTTAGGAGGGTATATAAGGCTGATTCCTTCGTTTCTTCAGCAGAAGCCTTCTTTCCTCTCTCTCTCTTCTTTTCTCTTCTCTCCTTCTCTCTAGAAACCCGAAGAACTCCGGTTGAATGACCGCTGGATTCTGGAAATTTTCGTCGAAATCTAGGTTTTTCGTCGAAAGTTCACTGAAAAGTTGGTCGGCTTCTGAAAATTCTTACCGAAAATTGGGCAGCTGGACGAAAACTTCAAACTTGGCCGAAATAGTTACCGAAAAATTCAACCTTCGTCGAAAAATTCAATCGAAATCTGAAAATTTTCCAGAAAAAAAAATTCACAGAAAAATCTCCAAAAATTCCCACAGATTCCTAAAGCTATTCTAACACCTCTAAACCCTTTTCAGCTTTCAATCTCTTCTCTCTGCCTTTTTTTCTCAGCCAATAACTCTTTTTCTATCTGTTTTCCTTTGATCCGAGGGTCCTTTTATTAGGGATTGATCAGAAGAGTTTCTGATCAATCCCAACTCCTCTTTGGATCGGGATTCAATCATTGAACCAATATGGACTCTGATTGAATCCCAATCCAATCTTCAGCCGAAAAAAAGAAATAAAAAAATTAATAAAAAAATCAAATAATAATAAAAAATTTTAATAAATAAATAATCGATAAACCAAAAATTAACAGATAAATTATAAATAATAGATAAATTATAATATATAATCCCAGATAAATATATATATATAAATATTAACAGAAAAAAAAATAAGGATATATATATAATAAATAGTAATAAAAATAAAAAAAATAAATACATAAGATAAAAATAAAGAAAAAAAAATAAATATATATATAAATAAATAAAAATGTAAATACAAAAATAAAAAAGAAAATAAGTTTACCCCATTTGGACCAGGCCCAATTGATCCGGGCTTTGGACCAAATTGGGTATCTACAGTGAGGGAAAATTTAAATTGAGGTTCCAAATTATAAACAAATCAAAGCTCAAAACAAACATCATCTAAGGAGCATCGGATGCTTTTCGTGGTGCTCAATCTTTCAGAGTATATTAATTCAATCAAACATTCTAAACGACAACCTAGAGGAATAATAACTGTTAACTAAAACCAGATTTTGGATTATTGAAATAAGAAAAAAAACCAAATCTACTTAATTAACAGGCAGCTCATACATAAAGATATTTGCATTTTAATTATATATTTAGCATATGTAAACATTCATATGTCACATTTAATTCGTCACACCCACCAGCTAATTAATATTCAGTGAAGTGATTCTTGAAAAGAAAATTTTTTTTAACAGTGAATTTGTCAGCTAAAATGTTCTAAAATTTTATGGTCCTTTAGCTGAACAAAACATGAATGCTAAGCCATATTTACATGAAAAGGACACTCCTTTTTTCGAATTGTTTGTTTTAAATTTTTTATAATGATTGAACATGATTCATAATGGATATCGTTTTTCTAAATCTAGAATAAAATTGCCAAGAACAACTGGCGAATGGACCAGATATGAGAAATGACACTTACGATTGCTGTTGATCGATGCCAATTCTGGACAATTTAGGCTTGGAAGTTATGCTAAAATTACATATACAAGAATTCAAATGCCATGTGCAGATCAGGTTAAACCCAGCCATAGATAACGTATCGATTCTTTAATTTATTATTGTCTTGTTAAAGCTATAATAACCATTTCATATTTTATATATATGTCAATTCTTTGCTAGTTATCGAGGGATTACAATTTTGAAAGACCTAATTTTATGCAGAAGTTGGAGTGAACTCACGAATTACCAATCTTTTTCTTTTCTTTTTTCCTTTTTCCCTGTTTAAATCAAAGCCTAGCCAAGGGATCTGGACCTGTGTATAAAGCTGTAGCAACAACTGACTTAAATATTAACTTCTCTTTCAACACAAAATTAAACCCCAAGGATATCACTAATTGGTAGAGTTAGACGTAGGGATTGTTCATTAGCAATTCTCATCACCTGCTTTGGATTCACTGCCTTGATTTCCAATAGTTATATATTTATATGTCAACGTATATACAAAAGAGTATTTTTTGGCAATCATAAAAAAAAAAAGGAAATTAAGAAGGATGTGAGACGTGATGCCCTCAGATAGGGTGACCACATCGATATCAATCGATATCTGAGGGCTTATGAGATTATTGGGATGTCTGAGGTTCTTAGCCCTCTTCAAAATTTTTGTATTTTTGGTTTATATTAAGCTACGTTGTAATCAGAGATAATAATAGTATGCCAACAGTCGTGTATCTATTAGTAGAATACTGAATTTTTAATTTTAATAATCAAAATTCAAAATTTGACAAGTTTTATAGTAAAAAAAGGAAAAAAGAGACAAGTAGTACTATTCTTTAATCCCGTTTTGCTTAATCAAAGATAGGTGATAAATTTGATTTAGATTAGGAGAAATTAATCAAAATCTCTCATACCAAATTGTAACAGATCAAAGGCTCAAAACAAGCATCATCAAAAGATCATTTGATGCTTTTCTTGGTGCTCCATCATTTCAGAGAATACTTATTCAATCCAAAAGAAAAAAAAAATTTTTTGTGATAAGAAACTTTTCTTCTAGCTTTATTCATTCTCCATTTTTATTCAGTCGGAATTTGATCTAAAAAAAGAAAAAATTCTTTCCACTACAATTATTTCTCATCCAAATAGAATAATAATGCATTCCACTGCCACTTATTAATATTCGAAAATAGGATTATTGATATTAAGCAGTTGTTTTTTACTTTATTTTATTCTCCAATTTTAAGCCGTAGATTGTCTGTTTTAATTGTATGATTGCAGTAACCTTTCCATCTATATATATTTGCAGCGTTTATTACGAAAGCAGACACAATTAAAGAGGAGATAGAAGAACTGAAAAAGGAAGATGAAACCTGTTAGAAGAGACTCGCTCCAACGAGCTGATCATATCTTTACTCCTTGTAGCGGAGGCATATACTATCACCATGGTATATATCTATATATTTTTTTATATTTTTTTCAACGGGAAATTTGCATTTAATGTATTGTTTTCATCAAATTCAAGAAGCAATAATGTTTAATTACATGTTTATTTCTTTTAACATGTTGCACTTGTTCAACCAGACTTAGTTTTGGGAAGATATAAATTTAATTCTTCTACCCTTTTCAGTTCTTCAGTTCCTTACATCATGTTTGGTACGAGGGAAAATAATAGGTAAAGAAACCAAATATGTTTGGTTTGAGAAAATTTTTTTGTTTTTATTTTTTAGGAAATAATTTTTTAAGATAATCTGATTATTTGAGATTTAAATCTTTTTCTCTTTGACAAATATATGCATAAAAAGAAAATTTCTTCGCATTTTCTTTTGTATTTTCCTCATAATTCAATAAAGGTAAGAAATTTTATATTTTTTCCTTTCTTTTAAAATACCCTTGTCTTTTCCCTAACATTTTCCATACACCAGGCAGATCTTTATTACTTTCTCAATTTTCCTTGCTTAATTTGACTCCAGGCATATATGTGGGCAAAGCCACGGTCACTAACCCGAAAAATAATGGAGAAGAACAAGAAATATACGATGCAGTCATTCATTTCCTCGGATTTTACAAGAAAAGCAGCTGTAAACCCCAATGCAAGAGATGTTTCTACACTTCTCAAAATATGGGAGTTATCATAACCTGCCTCGATTGCTTCCTTGACGGTAGCTTAGTCTATGTCTACGAATATGGCGTCTCCTACTTGACATTTAATTTTAAAAGTAACGGCAGTTGCAGTTATTGGGATTCTTATCCTCCTGACAAGGTTATTCGGACAGCGTATTGTTTTCTCGACAAGCAATCCTTCGGTGATTACCACTTGGTTTTTAACAACTGTGAGAGCTTTGCAACCTACTGCAAAACGGGTAATGCCATGAGCAATCAGGCCTTATTCGGATCAGGCTTGCCTGGTGCTGCCGCTTATATTATTGCAAAAGGTATATTATGGGGAATTAAGGAGTAAATTAAGTGATGCGAGGTTCAAGAAAGTGAAGGAATGTACTCAATTTGCTGCTATATTTTTGTTACTCAAACCTCTGGAAATGCATAAGGCTTTGCAATGTCAAATAGGGTGGGGTGGGATGATTATAGAGGTCCAAGGTTTGTAATTTATTGCTCTCTTTATTTTGTATAAAAAATTAATATATGTATCAATAAATAAATTGTTGTCATTTAAAAGCATTAGTTGATCATTAAGATTCAAGCCTTTTTCTCTTGTTTTGATTGTTGGTTTGGATCAAAATCTCTTTTTAAAAATGAATTTTGTTAACAAGTACCTTAGGAACACTCTATAAAGTTATTATTAAGTAATTTATTTCTTTCAATGTCTTGGAATGCATAATAATACCGTCAACTCTCACATTTAATACAAGTACAAGAATATTGTTTTAAATAGTGTTCTTAATTAGGATACTCTAAAGAAAAATCCTTTTAAAGTACTTTTATTGTATATGAGAAAAATCACTAAATTTGGGAGTGTAAATTGTAAATTTGATTAGAATTGGATGATATTAAATGTTTTGAATTTTGATGTGTTTAAAGCATTTTGAACTATTGTCCACTTAGCAATATGAATCTTGAGCCACATTTATGTGAAAAATGTTAGGTTTACGGTAACTCTAATACCAGTTGTTAAGCAAAAGAAGCTTTAATTCAAATGAATATTCATATCAACAGAAGCGAAATTAAATAATTAATTAATTAATAAAAAAATAATAATTTAACGTGATTCAATTCAATCAGTCTACGTTTATGAATAAAAAAAATCCAATAGTTATACAGAATTACGAACATACAATCTCAATCAACCACTCAACAATTAATACCCATATTATCTATTTAATATATAAATTAAAATCATGCTTTCTCCTAAAATTATAATTATTTTATATTTTAAAATTTAGTTTTTAAACTAATATTAATTTTAGCAACTTCAAAAATAATTTGTGTATTTTTTTAAACAGAATTTTTAAATGTTTTATATAAAATATATTTTTATTGTTCTTTTATTATGATTTCAATAGATTAGTTTTATTTTCTAATTCAAATGTTTTTCACATCATTTATCTAATAAATAAATATAGTTTTTAATTTAACAATTTAATTATATTTTATTATAAAATAAATAAAATATTACTACATCTTGCAAATTATCTTTAAATAACATTAAAATCTTAACTTGTGTAACTATTGAAATTTGTATGGATATTTTCGTACTTTTAAGTAAAATAATATTTTATATTTTTATGAAGAAAAAAAATAAAATAAAATTTGATTTTTGAAGATATCATATATATTTTTTAATTTCTATGAATTAATGATTGTTAAACAAATAAAGTAATTGCAAATCATAGAGTGATAAGATCATGATAATCTTCAAAATGATACTAATTAAAGTTTTAAGTTAATTAATGGTCTTGGCCTACTCGAACAAAATAGATTCTAAAATGTTAAGTGTCATAATGTCTAGATCTGTGAACTTATCGTTAGTGACTTAAGGAGTTATTGTCAATTTTTTTTGTTTAAGTGCGATTAGCTACCTAACTGAATTTATCCCGTTTTAAAGAGAAATCTTAAGTTTGATTTAGGTATTTTTAAAAGGTAGATTTAATGTCTACAAAACTAGAATAAAGTTCGAGAGTACTGTTATGTGTGAGAAAAGTTATAGCATCCTTACAATGCCCATAAAATAATGGTACTAACTTAATTTCATATTATCCATTGAGCCTTAAAAATCTTGTCAAATAGTTAATTATTAAAAATTATTTTTAATTGACTCTAATACTTTTGAAACAAAATTAAGAACGTTTCCTCACCTCAAGAAAATACATAAAAATTACTGTTTTTCTTGTAACGGTTCCGTAATCGGATTATTTAATATAAAAAAATTCAAAGAAAAATTATTACTTCAACTTTTTTTGAGATTTCTTTTCTTATTTTATTTTCTTCAACTTTTTCTTAAATATCTAAAAGCTTTAAAATATTTATTAAAAAATAAACAATATTAACTTAATACATACATCAAATAAGAAGAAAGAGAAAAAAAAATTACCAAAAATAGGAACTGCCCGACTTAGCCCGGCAGCTAAAAGAGGGTTCAACTGTAGAAATAGAAAACAACTTGGTAGGCGCGGCTTTAGGCTCGTCTTAACTCGTCAAACAGCTTGACTTCACAGATCGGCTTGGCTTGAAGTCTGAAACAGGTCGCAACTGGGTCGGATCGCCCGTGGAGCAGCACTCGGTGCCTTGGATCGAGTCAAGAGGAACCTGGTCCCTTGGATCGAGTCAAGGGATGGTAGGTTGGCACAAATATTTGCTATTATCAGCGTGCTATTATTGACCTTTAGAAACAGTCAGATTGGAACAAATATCTTGCATTGTACTATTTTTCATGTGTTGTTTTCTTTCCTTTTTTATTCTCTGCAGCAATATGCATATAGCTGAAGTTGATCAAAGCTTTGTTGAACATGAGGAGGAACAGGCACAAGAACCTGATAACTTGGAGCAGAATCCAAACCTGCAGCATGACTTGAACTTGGAGCAGAATGTGAACTTGGAGCAGAACTTGAACTTGGAGGAAAATCCGGAAGACAACTTGGAGGAGCAGAACTTGCAGCAGGAATCGCCACATCAACCAAAACATGAGCATGACGATAAGGCAGTGGTTGGAGATGGTGAAAAGAAGTGGCCTGGATGGCCTGGAGAGAGTGTTTTCCGGATGTTGGTTCCTGCACAAAAGGTTGGTAGTATAATTGGACGAAAAGGGGAGTTCATTAAAAAAATAGTTGAGGAGACAAGAGCTTGTATCAAGATACTTGATGGTCCTCCGAGGACAACGGAGAGAGCTGTAAGTTTGTACCTTCTCTTGGCTTATATTACATTTTGCTTTGATTCTGGGAATAGACTATTAGGGAAGAACCAGTTCTACTTGTTGATGCTCACTTTCTGTGTCTACTTGTACTATCGAGTTATAAGCGATATGGACATTTTCAGTATCTTATATTATGATGAATGATTCTGCTCACAAAGTGGCAAACTTAAGCAGAAAGTCATTGCAGGAGATTTCTTTACCTGCTTTTTCTTTCTACATATCTTCTGATTCTTTTTGGACACTTTTCTGTTGTCTTTTTATTTGTTTGAGATTTCATGTGCATTTATTTGCAATTTTGTGCTTAGAATGAAGCCATGTTGTATTGTAGTTGTACAATGACGTGCTAATGATTTTCACTATAGAAAATAATAAAGCCTGCTCTTTGATTTTTGCTAGATCTCTTCTAGTTTAGGACTGCTTATGTACATGATATATTGGTTTATTTAATCTACCAGAAAACATGAAAATAATAAAAAATGGAAATATTAAATATACATCACCAAGGCAAAATTAAGCTTTATGTATTCCTTTCTAATCTAAATCAATTCTATGAAGAATGTATATAAGAAAAACATTAAAGAAATAGGAAGAAGAATGGAAGTGCTAAATTAATGGTTGAAGTTTTAATGTGCTTCACATTGCAGTAATTTGAATAAATATAATTCTTTCTTACATAATAATTGTTCATCAATTTTTAAAGTTTCGACACATTGGCAGTCAATTACATGCCCGAGGCATGATATCGTTTTAAAGATTTGAGTAATTGAAGAAGCCAGTAAGGAAGGCCACAAGAAGCAATCAATAAAATACAAATACAGTTTCCTTTATTGCAATAACAAGAATGAGTCTGTGCAGGTTCGGTTCGCAAATTTTAAGGCAAGGAGTCAAACATCAATAATACTCCAATTTTGAGGTACCAAAGTCTAAGATTGCAGGGATCCACATTGAGCATTTCAAAGTGCTGAAAGTTTGATATGAATTAACGGACACATCTTGTACAAACAACCGTATCAAGAAGCTCCGCTTTCTCTTTGGTAACTTCAAACAAGGATTCAAATAGCGGTGTCGCGGCCGCTATTTCGCGGTCGCGCCACTATCAATTACCGCTATTGGAGAAAAAACGGAAGAGAATTTGAATCTCGTCTATAGCGGATGAATCGCGGTCGTGAATTGCGATATAACGGTGAATAGCGGCAATAGCGGTCCGCTATTGCCTGCTTTTGGCGCTATTCCTATTTTCATTCAAAAATTTTGTAAAAAAATTCATTTGATTTTGTTTAAAAACTTAAAATAAAAACAACAAGAAAGAAAATAAACATCAATTTACAAATTCAGAAAAAAAAATCCACAAAACTTAAACTTTCAAAAAAATCAATTCTCTCAAGTTCAACTTCAATCAAAATCAAGTATATGCAATTTAAGGTAAACAATTAATTCAACACTCAAATTATCTTTTTTTTTTTAATTTCCAAATTTGCCATGATTTTGTGTGTTTGGGATTAGATTGGGCTATGTTAAATTGATAGAAGGAGGTAAGAGTTGCTGGGACTTAAAATAAGAGATAAGAGATGAGAGTGAAACTTGAGGTTTACGGAAGCAAGCAGATAGCATATACCAAACAAAAAGAGAACTGAGAGATGGGGATGAGGATGAAGGTTTGGAGAAAAAAAAATATTGAATGCAAGGTGAATGGATAAGAAGTTGTGTGAGTCTGTGCAATTTAGTCAAGAGACAAGAGAAATAGACTTGAGGTTATTATTGTTGAAAATCGACTATAACATGGAGGCTGTTAAGTTTGATTTAGTGTAAGTTCATAAAAAGCAATTCTTTTGACTCATAAATAATAATGCTCTTACTTAATTTATGAATACCTAATCACTTATTATTTGATTTATGCATAATACAGTTCGATAATAATTTGATGAGTACGATAATTAAATAATTAAATATATTATTCGTTATGATTATTTATTTTTCACATATTTATTTATCTCTTTTTATTTTTTAATTATCATAAAAATAATTTCTTAAATATGAATATTTTACTATAAATATTTTTTATTAAATAAATAAAACACATGATATGATATAAA